TTCTACATCTGTCTCACTGTCTTCTATATCTCTCACTATATCTCACTATCTTCTACATCTATCTATCTATATATCTTCTACATCTGTCTCACTGTCTTCTATATCTCTCACTATATCTCACTATCTTCTACATCTATCTATCTATATATCTTCTACATCTGTCTCACTGTTTTCTATATCTCTCACTATATCTCACTATCTTCTACATCTATCTATCTATATATCTTCTACATCTGTCTCACTGTCTTCTATATCTCTCACTATATCTCACTATCTTCTACATCTATCTATCTATATATCTTCTACATCTGTCTCACTGTTTTCTATATCTCTCACTATATCTCACTATCTTCTACATCTATCTATCTATATATCTTCTACATCTGTCTCACTGTCTTCTATATCTCTCACTATATCTCACTATCTTCTACATCTATCTATATATCTTCTACATCTGTCTCACTGTCTTCTATATCTCTCACTATATCTCACTATCTTCTACATCTATCTATCTATATATCTTCTACATCTGTCCACTATCGTCTACATCTCTCACTATATCTATCTCACTATCTTCTACATCTATCTATCTATATATCTTCTACATCTGTCTCACTGTCTTCTATATCTCTCACTATCTCTCACTATCTTCTACATCTATCTATATATCTTCTACATCTGTCTCACTGTCTTCTATATCTCTCACTATATCTCACTATCTTATACATCTATCTATCTATATATCTTCTACATCTGTCTCACTGTCTTCTATATCTCTCACTATATCTCACTATCTTCTACATCTATCTATATATCTTCTACATCTGTCTCACTGTCTTCTATATCTCTCACTATATCTCACTATCTTCTACATCTATCTATCTATATATCTTCTACATCTGTCTCACTGTCTTCTATATCTCTCACTATATCTCACTATCTTCTACATCTATCTATCTATATATCTTCTACATCTGTCTATCTATCTTCTACATCTGTCTCACTGTCTTCTATATCTCTCACTATATCTCACTATCTTCTACATCTATCTATCTATATATCTTCTACATCTGTCTCACTGTCTTCTATATCTCTCACTATATCTCACTATCTTCTACATCTATCTATATTTCTACATCTATCTCTCACTATCTCACTATTTTCTACATATATCTATCTATCTATCCACTATCTTCTATATCTATCATTATCTTTTATATCTATCTCTCACTATATGTCACTATCTTCTACATCTATCTATCTTATCCTATCTATCTTCTATATCTACCTATCTACCTATCTAATTAATCATCTATATAATCTCTTATCTATATCTAATCTCTTATCTCTAATTACCTATCTAATCTGTTATCTATACTTAATCTCGTATCTATATCCTTATTTATTAATATTTATTGGCCACCTATTTTACCACAATGTGACCCTGGGGCAGCTCCTACTCCTAAAGAAATCTGTTTATCCACATACGTTAAAACATAAATAAGTTTAAACCAACCACTAAAGTCTAATCACTCTGAGGGAGGTGGGAGCTGTTGTTAACTCGATTTCCAAGGCAGGGTGGCGTCAAAAATCTCGGATGGGAGCGTGCTTGAAATAGAAATGCACATAGTCCTCGACATACGGCCACAATTGAGCCCAATATAACTCGCTAAGCAAGACAGAGGTGTCAAGTGAATTTTGCCCCGTTTTATGACTGACCTTGCAACGGGACACTCTACAACGGTCGTAACTATGAAGCAGTTGCCAAGTGTCTGAATTCCGATCACATGATCATGGGGATGCTGCAGTGGCAAATGTGAAAAAAAAGTCATCAGTTGCTTTTTTCAGTGTCATTGAACTGTTGTAAATCGAGGATTACCTGTAAACATGGCAAATTAAAACTATCAAAAAAAACCTCCCCCAAAGCTTTGTGGAAGGTTTCTGGCCAGGAAAACGAAATGCTGAATTTCCCTGAAAAGCGCTAACTTCTTTTTTGTTTCTTTCCTCCCCACCCTCCTTTGCTTCCAGATTGTCCCCATCGATCAAGAGCGGAATAATCATCACAACCCAGAAACCCTCGACGCAAGAGTGCGACACGCTATCTGTAGGTTGCCGTGCCCACCGTGTCTCCCGTGAAGTCCCTTTTGATACGTGAAATAACAGCACTAACCTTTTTAATTTTTTTTAAACGGGTTTGCTACCTTTCAAGGTCAGATGGAGTTGTTTACAGTGGTTGGATGGTGTCTGGGAAGCTTTGTGACAGCCAAATGACCAAGGAGAAATCTTCATTTGTTGTGTGTGTTGAGTAGGGGAATAAATGATGGTAGATCTCTATAGGATGGGTGTGCCCTTGAAATAGAGGAAACCCCACAAGTTAAATCTGTCAGAGTCATTTTTGTTTAACCTAGAGTCATGTTAGTGCATGTTAGGAAGTATATGGGGTTCCAGAAATTGAGAATGAGCTGATGATCAGCAAGGTTTTGAATTTCCACTGTGCGCGTCCTTGTAATATGCCAGTAAAAGGGAGAGTGGTTTGCTTCTGATACACCTCTTAAGTCATAATTTAGCCCGGTGAGAAGGCCTTCCCTTTATTTGGAGGAACTTGGAAGCTTCCCCCCCCAAAAACAAAACCCCGACATTGATTTTAAACTGTTTTATTTGAACGGGTTCAAGCAATAAGCATCAGCTGACGGAGCGGATTCAGATACAACTAAGCCTTGCCTAATGACAGTGGGAAGCAAATGTTTTCCAATTTCTCCTGGGAAGGCCCCAAGTCTCTTAAAGGCTCCTCCTGCTTGCGCTCACGAGTTGCTCGATGACATCAGGAGACTATGCTCTGAAGAGACAAGTGGCCGGTTAAATTTGTGGAACGTGGACGGTTTGCTCTGCGGCAGGTTAAATTTGTGGAACGTGGACGGTTTGTTCCATCGGTCTAAGGAAACGGCTCCTAAGGCTGAGAGGGCGCGAATATTTCTTTTTTGACAGAGGCCGGCGGGCCGTTTTTTTTCCTCCCCCCCCCCTTGTTATTTCCAGTCTACTTATTCACAGGTTGCTTTTTCCATTCTCTTGAATGTCTTTTCCTGTCTGTCCGAGAAGAAGCATGAAGAGCCGCTCCACAACTCCCCCCTTGCACGTCCACGTGGATGAAAATACCCCTGTCCATGTCCATATTAAAAAGGGTCAGAAAACGCCACCGTCGGCAAAAACCCAGGTATGAGGGGGGCAGCCCGAGCTCCGCTCCCCGCAAGGCCAACGAAAGCTCAGTTGTCTGCTTTGGCTGCTCCTAGATATCTGTGCCAGCTTAACTTGCTCTGTTGCTGCTGCTGCTGCTGCTAGAAGCTTCCTCTCTCTGTGCTGCAGACCTGGACGTTGTCTGTCACCGTCTCACATTGGGGCTCGTATTTCTGATCCCGCTTGTCGTTGCGCCCCAGTTTTCTCCCGTCAAAACGGTCTTAGGAGATGTTGCTCAAAACCAGCTCTTGTTCCTCAGGGGGACAGACCTTGTCTTGTTCTCCTCCGTAAATCGTAAAAATGCAGGGGAGGCTTGTCAGTGAGCTGACACAGGACAAGAAACAGTTGCATGTCTTAGGATTGTGCGCATTTCCTTTCGATAAGCTAGCTCCCTGGCTCCGATTCTGCCGATAAACAAAGGTTCCTGGAGGCCGGGAAGGATAAAATTCTTTTTCAAAGGCAAAAGTTCCAACGGGTGAAGAGGTCCAAAATTCAAGGTGTTAGGGAGGAGCTATTTCAAATCTCCGGGGCTTTAGCGTGCTTCCCGGCCTCAACTGTCTCCTTGGGTTGGTGTAGCCTAAGGCAGGATTTGTGTGGCTGTGCTTAACTGAATTGTCTGCGCTGAGGCCCGTTGCAAACAAGGCTGGGGGCCTTCCCCTTTTGTTTTCGCTTCTGTCGGAAGAGGCCCCGGGCTGTGGTTCTCGGGCCCAGCTGCCCTGCTCCAAATTGTCTCCCTCTAATCTTTCCAGGGTAACTAAGGGCCTGCTCTGCATCACAAGAGGCTAAGCAACCTGGGTGATGTCACAATGACCTTGCTAAGCCAGCCCCGTGCACCTGCCAGTCTGTCCCCATACTCTCCTAGCTATGCGGTACCTATATTTCTTTTTCCTGAGCGTGGTTACTGAGACTGATCTGTGATGTAGAATGTGACGCTTTTTTCTGTGGTACAGTTCTCGCCGTGCCTGCGGGCAGGGGGCAGCAGGGGGTGGGTGGGTGGTGGGGAAGCCTCCGTTTGCTTGGCAGGAGTCTCTTGCCCCCCCAGTAACGCGACCCCCGGGCCTGGGAGGGGGGGAATGGGGTCCCTAAGAAAAGAAAGTACTAAGGCCGCGCATCTCACTAAAATTTCCAAACTCCCCCGCCTGCATCCTCCCCCTTCCCACTCCCCCCTCCGTCCTCACTGTTCCTCTTCTCTTTTGTTCCTCCTTTCCTCTTTTTTTTTTTTTTTTTTTTCCCTTTTCCTTCCCCCACAGCAGAGGCACAAGCAGAAAATGAAAGGGGATACCGTGAATGTGCGCCGCAGTGTCCGAGTAAAAACTAAAGTCCCCTGGATGCCCCCAGGCAAAACATCTTGCAGAGAATCATCGTACAAGTGGGAGGTAGGCGACCCCCGCCCCCTGCAGCCGGGCTGGCTCTC